AGTGTGTGAGCCATCCCATGGTCTACTCTCAAATGCCCAGAACAAGTGTGCTAGGCCAGGCTGAAGATGGGAACCAAGATCTAATTACTTGAGCTGTCAACTACTGTCTCCTAGGAAACTGCAACTGAAAGCATAGCCTAGACTCAAACTCAAGACATTATGTGGCATCTTAACTGCTGTGCTAAATGCCTGCCTCCAGTGTAAATATTTTACCTTCTACATTCATGCAGTTAAATAAAAGTTCTTCTGTTTTGTTATTTATCTATTTGAAAGGCAGAAAGAAAGAACAAAGGATACTCCGTATCCCAGCTCAGTCCCCAAATGCCCATGGTAGCCATGGCTTTGCCAGGCAGAAGCTAGGAGTCCGAACTCCATCTGGATCTCACATAGGAGTATCAGGGACCAAAGTTTTTAAACCATTTTCTGCTGGCACTCATCATACTAGGAAGCTGGAATCAAAAGCTGATCTGGGACTCAAACCAAGTCACTCCAGCAGAGGATATGAGTAGCCCAAGAGTCATGTCAACTGGTATGCTCAAGACTGCACCTGAAGTTCTTTATTTTAAAGTAAAAGCAAAGAATGATCAGGCTGAGCATTTCCTACAGAGGCTTAAGTTGCCTTACGTCTCATGCTAGAGTGACTATGTGTGGTGTTTGGGTTTTAGCTTGGCTTCTGATTCCAGTTTCCTGCTAATGTGCATCCTGGAAGGCAGCAGCAGGTGTCTTACACTTATATCCCGCCAATAAAAGGAAAAATTCTGGACTGACCCAGGATTCTTCTATACATTTGGTCCATTTTAAATAAAAATGAGAATAGATTTTAAAATTAAGTTAAAAAGAATTATAATAAATGATCCACAAATCTTTATTTTTCTATTAATATACAGGTTAATAATAATTGGTAAAATTAGTTGGAAAGTTATCATTGCTAAAAAAGATGAAATTTAAGGTTATGGTTTTTATAATATCAGGACTTATCCTGTTTTCATGACAAAGTTTTATATTTCAGCAATATTAAAAATGTTTAGTATGACTTTTTCTTACATAAATTGTTTTCTGGTTCACACAACAGAAAAGAATCTGTAAGACACATGTATGAAATTCAGCAGTATTTAGATTAATGAATGAAAAAAACTAAGAAGGGAAGTAGAGCTGTTGAATATTTTTTAAAAAATTGTTTGTTTGAAAGAGAGTGTCAGAGGGTGGGACAGAGACATCTTCCATTCCTCAGTTTATGCCCCAAATATCCACAACAAACAGTTTGGGGCCAGGCCAAATCCAGGAACCTGGAGCTTGGTCTGGAGCTCCTCATGTGGGTGGCAAGGACCCAATGTCTGGGCCGTTGTCTGTTGCCTTCCCAGGTGCAGTGGCAGGAAGCCACTTTGGATCCGTGGACCTGGAACAGGATCCAGCACAGCAGTATGGGCTATATATATACCACTATCCTATGAAGAGACATAACTTGTGCCTCTGTTGACTCATTTTCGAGGATGTGAATAAGTGAGTAATAAATATGATAAAGTGGAGAAAGCCACAGAACTGTCCACATACAGGAAAGGGCTCTGGTGGGAAGTCCTAGAACCCCCGTGCTCCAGACATACTGAAGGGGGAAATAACTAGGAAAGTTTTCTTAAGTATAGTCTGGCAGTGATTCTCAAACTTTGGCATAAATTAAGTTCCTCTGGAGAGCTTATTACATAGCACAGAGTCTCCAGCGGAGAAGCCAAGAAGTTGCATTTCTCTAATGTTTCCAACCAGTGCTGATGTTGCTGACCTGAGCACTACACTTTGAGAATCATATTTTAAGAACATGAGAAAACTGGACCCATCTCTCACCAATGGCCATGTCAGCTTGTAAGAACAAAGAAAATCTGCCTCTCTCTGAACTAACAATTAGCAGGGTGGGCCCCTGGACATACCCTCAGTTTGGTATGCAGTGTTCAGGTTGATGCCCATGCTGTTGTGCAGAACACAGACTATAGTTACAGATGTCCCTTGACTGAAGATGCTCTTATATACTGATAAACCTGTTGTAATTTGAAAATAAGCATACATTAGAAATGCATTTACTATTCCTAGCCTACTAAACATCATGGTAGCAGCATGGTGTACTGTAGTAGGGTCATTGTTTTCCCTTATGGTTGCTGGAGCTGTGGTTCCTGCTGCCACCCTGCAACATGGGAGGTATTATACTAGATGTTGCTAGGCCAGAAAACTTGAAATTCAAATGAGTTTTCTACTCAGTGTGTATGGCTTTCACACCCTCTAGAGTGAAGGAATTACAAGTCAAGTGATGCTAACTTGTGGACCATTTGTACTTGCATCTCTCATCTTCACCTCAAATATGTGTATATGAATACACACAGAGAATTGGGCTTTCGTGATGGCATCAAAGTGAGAAGCTGAGCAGAAACTGGGGTCACAGTTTCTGTTGTAAACTTCTGTGACAGGCTTGGAAAAAGGAAAAGAAATATAAAAGATAATTATTACTAGAAGGAAAAAGTTCCAAACCATTGTGATGTTAGTTTTCATTGCACCTCAATTAGGTGTCTCTATTTGTAATCAGAAGGACCAGAGAAAACAGAGAAGGGAAAATAATAGTAATAAAAAATGAAGAAAAACTTCCAAAACTAAAGAAAGCTACACAGCTTCAGATGGAGATGGCATAGTGCTATGCATGATGAATTAATATAGATATATATTGGTAGAAAATCAAAATTCTGAATATAATGAGAAAACACTAAAACTTCCAGTGAGAAATTGTGTTATATTCAGGGGAGTAAGATCTAGATCAGCAGGGTAGTTCTCACCACAAATATTGGAATTGTAATTTATTATTTTGCCTGCAGTGGCTGAAACGGCCAGGCCAACCAAGAGCCAGGAATTCAATCTTGATCTCCCACACAGGTGAGAGGAACTCAATTACTTAATACACTGTGATTACCTCCCAAAAACCACAATAGCTGGCAGCAAGAATCAGGACCTGGAGCCAGTCTAGAACTCAGGACTCAGGTGCTCTTAACTGCCAGACCAGGTGCTCCCCCCAGGAACATTGAATATATGACGTAAAATTATTTTGAATTACATCATCAAACATGAGAGCAAAGTGAAATAAGTTTTACACATGCAGGTTTATCTCTATGCTGTCCTTTCTGAAATAAAATTAATAGAGAGCCTGCTTTAACAAAATGAAAAAGGAGTCCAAGAAAGAAGAGTTGTAGTGTAAGGGATTTAAGCTGCTGCCTGCAGTGCTGGAATCCTATATGGGCACAGGTTTGAGCTCCAGCTCAGTTTTCTGCCAATGTACCTGGAAAAGCAGCAGAAGATGGCCCAAGTGTTTGGACTCCTGCATCTGTGTGGGAGGCTTGAATGAGGTTCTTGGTTCCTGGCTCTTGGCTTCAGTCTTGCCCAGCCCCAGCCAGCCATTGTGGCCATTTGGGGAATGAAGTCCTCTTCCCTACCCCCCTCCAAGTCTGTTCCTTCCTCCCTTGACCCTTAACTCTGTCTTTAAATAAATACAGTAAATCTTTAAAAACAAAAAGAAAAAAAAGAGGCATCATGAGAGCCAAGAAAAAGTGAAGCTATCACAGCAGTATAGACAGAAAAAAGTTGAAGAAAATTCTAGGATATAGCAAGCATAGAATATAGTACTACAAATGAAAAGTCAGTTACATAAAGAGTGACTCCTAAAAAACATGTTTTTTTTCCTCACCTAAACGGTAGTAACTAAATAGATAATAAGCTGATCAATCTGATAGTAAGAGCTATGATGATAACTTTGGAGTTGAATTTTCCTACCAGAGTAGCAGTGTAAAAGAAAATTTGTTTTTATCCTTGGATTTTGAAGAAGTAAATGAGTCATAGGTTTGATGAATAGAGGAACAATCCTTATTTTATTTGTGTTTTACAGGTAGGTGTACCCAGATTAGATGTATTTAAGTAAGTGGGCACGGATTATGTAAAATTGTTCTCAATGCTAGGCCTCTTCTTTCCAGTCTCCCTATTTTAATCCTATATTAGCTCCTATAGGGAACGCAGAGAGCTTTAAAACAGTGCCTTTCCTCAAGAAACTTGTTTGTCTGGTGAGGAAGTTAAGACATAACTCCTGTACAGAGGCAGTAAATAAATATCAAATAAGTGACACAAACACTAAGCATTATCAAGCACGGTTTTGCTTAGACTAGAAGCTGAATTGAGCTTTGTGATATAAAACAAAGGAGCAGGCAGAGTGAGTTGATAGACTGGGACAGGTGGCAGCTGAAGAACATGTGGTCTGATGTGATCTGCCTAAATAACCCATCACTAAAATGAGAGTTAGCATGTAAGCATTGTGGCTCAGTGAGTTAAGCAGCCACTTGGATTGCCAACATCCCATTTCAGAGTGCCTGGTGCCAGTTGCAGTTCGTCTACCAATCTAGCTGTTTTCTGATTTATCTCGGAGGCAGCAGACTGCAGATAGTTAAGTCCCTGGGAATCCTGGCTGGAGTTCCTTACTCCTGGCTTCAGCTTGACCTATCCCTGGCTATTGCAGGCATTTAGGGAATCAACCAGTGGGTACAAAACCTCACTCATTCTCTGTTAGTCTGCCTTTCAAATAAGCAGGTCTTTAAAAATAAAGAAATATGTTTACGGAATATGGAATTAAAATATGCTAAGAAAGGAAGTGAGCATTAGAAACACAAGATGACTAATAGACTACACTGGAATGAAGGAATCTTATTTGGAATCAGGAAACTAAAACACTCAGCAGGTCAAGTTCATATTTTGGAGAACTTTCAACTTCAAAACTGTACTTTTCCTTTCATCTTCAATTAGGAACATGACAGTCCTAAAAACTGGACATGAAGTGACAAGCATAAAATGATGATTTAGTAGGTGAAAGTAGTTAAACTGTCCTGAGGGGGAGGAGGGTTAAGGGAAGTGGAGAAGAGGCTGAGTGATTGTGGTAGCCATAATATGACATGGGAACAGGATTGACAGTGGTTAGTAAAAAGGAAAGAAGAAATGAGATTCTCAGCTGAGGATAAGAATGTCATCCTTGAGGACCTTGCTAATCTTATCTGTATCATTCCGGTTTTAGTACTATGTGCTACTGAAGTGAGCACAAGAATCATAGAATGTAAAACACCTTTCATAGTATCTATTTCAAAACCTATAACTAAAGATGAAGAGGTTAGTATAGGGCTAACTAAAGTTATACTAGCTTGTAAAAAATGTTCTGAGTAGACTTATATCGCTCTTTTAATAGAAGTTTAAGGCTCATTCATGAAACAGATAATTATTGAGACCAGTTATGTAGCAGAAACAAAGATAAATGACGTCATGAGGGGTTTTTCCCTCCCTCACATCCCTATCAGCTTTCGTTTTGCTTGACTCTGTAGACAGGCAGTACTCATAGCCTGTAGGCTGACCACTTGTTTTCGTAAATAAAGTTTTATTGGAAAAGCCTCAGGCTTGTGCGTTTCTATTTTGTCCATAGCTGTTTTGCAGTGTGACACAGAGTTGAGAAGTTGTAACAGAACCATAGAGCCTGCTACCTGACCCTGGAGGAAAATATTTGCAAATTCTCAATGTACAACTTTAACATATTCCCCAAGTCAGAACTGTACAAAAAAGTGTCATCAGAAAAGCATCATGCTCTATTATCCCCTTTTCCCCATTTTCTGTTGCATCCCTTGTTTTCTGGTTTGTACTTTCTGGCTTTTCTGTGTGGAAAAATAAGCAGGAAAAATACATGTTTGTCTTATTTTACCTTTCTCTCACACAAATGACAAATATACTATATGTGCTCTTCTATACTTTTTGCATTTGACAACACTTTCTGGAAACACTGTTTATCACTTTGTGATTTTTCTAATTATTATAACTGCTCAGAACTATATTGTGCATATCTGTTAGTTTATTTATCCAGTCTTCCATGCTTGAACATCTAGATAGTTTCCAGTATAAAGAAATTTCAAATAATGTTGCAATAAGCAACCTTGTACATGTGTACTTTTATATTGTTAAAATTATTTTTTTCAGTATACATATCTGGAAGTGATGAATAACCTTGTACAGATTTATTTTTATTCTATTGAAATCGCATCTTCAGATTAAATACCTAGAAGTAAGAATGCTGGGGTAAATACATATATATGTGTGTATGTATGTTAGCTATTGCCTAATTTTCATCCATAAAGGTTGTATGGTTTGGCATTTTCATTAGCAACATGTGAAATTACAAATGACTCTTCTACAAGGGCTGCAAACTTCATCCAGGAATGGCATTATAATATTCTTCCCACCTATCATCACTGTCACTTAAAAGCTAATTTTGCCATTTTAAAAAGGGAGAAAGAGTATAATCAAAATAAATGATAGAATCAGCTCTTAAATTGTATATTTATCGGGCTCTTTCTGTTGTTTTTCCTTTTTTTTTTTTTTTTGCTGAAGATAAATGCATTTCTATCCTGTAGCAGAGGGCTCTTTGAAATGCAAATGTAATCATGTTTTCTCCTTAAAATACTTCATGACTTTTCCTCAGTTCTCAACACTTGGTCTGTCAGTGCCTCTGAGATCTCAGCCCTGTAGCCCCAATCCCTTAAACTGTTTTAATCTGTTCTTTATGTTTGACTTCCTTGCTACCATCAAATAAGTAAAAACAAATAAATAAATAAGCAAAACAAAATAAAGAAGTGAAACAAAACCTCACAAACCTTCGTTCTTATCATGGCTCTTCCTTAACTTATTATTTTGTGTAGGTTACTTAGCCTTTTTGTTGCTCAATTTCTCAACCTGGGCTGGTAGTTGTATTGGATGACCTCCAGGCCTTTTCTGTCCTTTATTGTGAAATTTTTCAGAAGCCATTTTAGCAGGAAGGTAATGGGCACATTTTCCCTTTGGTTATTCAGTGAAAATCAGCTAAAAGTGTACACAATATGCATGTTTCTCACTTGGCATTCACTTAAATTATTTTCAAAAGTCAACTGACTGTATAAGTAAATCAAGTTTTGAATTTGAAACTTATTAAATTCTTAGATTGTACTAATTGTCAAGTTTTACCTCTGGGTTATATTTATAGCACTGATTTTGAAAGAGACTTTTGTACTCTTTCCTGAGGTTATTGTAATAAATCTTTCTGAGATAGGGAGGGGGAATGACAGACTTGGTACAAAAAAATGTGCTTGCAGTTAATTTCTTGTTTTGTTATTGGCCCTGCTGCTTTGCTTAGTTAATATTCTTTGTACTTCCTTGAAAGTTACATACATCAGGTAAAAGGGATGAAGAGAAAGATAAAACAAATTTGAGAATAAATTAAACCAGAATGAGGATATTTTGAGAATTAATGCTTTTAAGAGTATGAACATGTTAATTTAAGCAGTATTATTGCTTAATAAATGAGAGTACTTCAAAAAGTGTATGAAATAGAAACAAAGGGTGTTTATTTTGGTGTAAAACAAGTTTGAAATCTGCAGTTTTTCATAATACATATTTCCTATGAACTTTTTAAAGACCCCTTGGATGATTGTTGTGTGTTCTTAAGTTGCTTCATGAGTCCCTTTTAATTCAGAATTTATTTCTTAGCAGTCATTTTAGAAAGGGATAAGTTTCCAGGCCAACTCAACAGAGTTTCTCATAAACAGTTTACTTCAGTAGTACTTTACGATTTCATCTGTGTTTAAGCAATGTTCATAAAATTGTTTCCATACAAAAATTCATTCATAACCAAGAACATGAGTCACATTGTTTTGTGACTTCTGGAGTTGCATATACTTGCAAGCGCTTAAAATGTTTGGGTGTTGGGAGGTAGAAAGATACTTCAAGGCACGAGTAACTAAGGCACATTGACATAGCCAAAACACCTAGTTCATCAGGGATCCAAAGTTGCAGGACCAAAAGCAAGTTCTTCAGTTTCTTAATAGCTATGTACCAGTCATAAGTGAATGATTATCAGTTGATAATATGAAAATTGCTCCATTTTTCTCCTCTTAATCTGAGTGACTTATTTCATTAAATAAATAAATAAATAAATAAATACTGATATTACTGATTGGAATTTACACATTAAATGTTCTTTTAGCATTTTGAATGTACAATATTAAGATTTGCTTATAAAGCTTTGATGAGATAGTGTTTTGTTTGTTTAACCTTATGTGTATATTATAATATACACATTTTGTCCATACTTCTGATTGAGTATTTGATTTATACTTTGTGAGGAAAGATTTCTAAGTTCAGAACCAATGATTAAAATGCTGGAAAGCTGTTTTCCCCACAGGATGAATGTTCTCATCTTACTCTGTTCTTTTAAAGGGAACTAATGTTGAGGTAGAAGATTGGCTTTACCATCTGTTCTTATAAGAAAATGTTAAAAAAAGCATATGCATAAGTTTGTGGGGGTAGGGTTTGATGTTATTATTTTAAGGCGAAAACTGTGGAGTTCCAATATTACATACAGGTTTTCAGAGTAGAGGGTAAAGAGAAAATCTTGAGGATGTATAATTTACCTTAATGTACCACACTGACAAAGGAAATCACTTCAATTTGTTCTGTTTTTCTTCAATCAGGTAATATTTGAAGCTTTAGGTGAGAAAATTAGTCTTCATTATCTGTTACTTTATGAAGAATCTTAAAATTTTTATTGATGTATACTCATGTTAGTAAAATGCAACAAAAATTTCTCTAATGAACAAAGGGACAATGATTCTGGTGACTCTTGTTTGTATTTCAAAATAATGTCCTTGCTTTGTGGTCTCACGTTAGATTTCACTCACAGATTCTGAAGCAGAGGAAAATTGTGAAAATCTCGTAGTTAACAAAACTCCTCACTCCTTCCCTCTATATCAGTAAGTTATTAGTTGCCTGCAGTGTAGAAACGTGTGTTTAAGAGTACTGAATGTATTGTAAATGTTTTTTGAGCAGTATTATCAGATAAAGATACCTCAGGTCAGTGGAAAAAGGCTTTTTTACAGTGTGTATCTAATTCTCAAGGGAAGAAAGAGCCATGTCTCATTTTCCCCCTTATTCTGTTTTACTTTTTCAGATTTTATTTTACTTGAGGTTTGTCTTAAGGAAACCTTGGGTCTTCCCCTACGAATCCTATGGTTATTTTATTTTATTGACTGTGCTTTATCTAAAATCATTGCATCCCAAACACAGAGAACAGCAAAAAGAAAATTTAAATCTTGTCCAAATTGTATTCAGTACTTAAATGATTAAGACTATAAAAATCGATTTGGGAAATATAATTATACTGTCCTTTTCTCAAATAAAAAACATTCTCTTTTGGTTCACTTTGAGAATGCTTGTATTTTTAGAAAAAAAATGTTGAAATATGAAGAAGCTTTAGTTTGTGGCACTTTCTAAATTATAATGTTATTTAGTTTAATTAAGCACAACTGTAGTTGTGTTTGATTATTTGACTTTGTAGTTTTGTTATTTTATATGTAAAGAATTGTGTGTTCTTATGTAATGTTGCTTGCTTGAAGTACCATTTTCAGCTATTCTTTGTTTTAAATGGTTGAAGAGAGAAGGATATATGGGAAGTTAATATATATTTATATATTGCTTTCTAAGTGCTAAGTACTATATATAGTTCATTAACTTCAGTGTTTCTCTGATTACACTTCTTTATTGTGATATAAATATATCACTATTAGTATTATATGTTTTAAAATTTTACTTAGCAAAATAAAAACTTCCTCCCTCTCAATTTTTTTGTCATTTTTCATTTTGAAATTGGATCCAGATATATTCAGAAAATAAATCAAAAGAGTAATTCTACAGAAAGCCACATTTTAAAAGATATTTTTATATAAGATACTTCAAATACATTTGATTATTTCAAATTATTCTCAATTGTGGTTATGGTTTAAGAAACATGATTAGTGGTTTTAATTCAAAATTAAATAAAAATGATGTGTGTTGAATAGAAATAGTAAATACTTAAACTTCTAATGTGAGTAAATTAGCATAAAACTTAGTATATAAAAGAATCCAAAGAAGACACAGATGTTCCCCACATGAGTTAAATCATAGTCATATTGAATAACTGTTTTAACATATTTTTTAATGAACAAATCAAAATGGCTCAGAAAAATATAGGATGGAGTGTGTATACAATAATAGAATATATTTTAATGCTTAATACATAGAATACAAGCTTTCTTTATACTAAAAACTTTAGAAATGTCCACATGTTAATTTCTTTTGGAGGTGAGAAATACTTTTTCCAGAGAACACTTTTCACAGTTGAGGAAACTTGGAGGTTCTGTCCCAGAGGTTTGTTCAGGCAGCTTATATTGTAGATTCATTGTCAAATATCTTACTTTTTAAGGTCTGTAGGTTATGTTGAATAAAATTCTCTGTGCCTTGAACTTCAGAGAATCTGGAGTCATTTCTCCTAACAGACCAGTTTTTCATTTTTATGGAGTTCTGGATTGTGTCCGACGTGAAGTAGTAAACTATAGGGTCAAAACAGCAGTTGGAAACAGCAATGCAGAGCGTGATTGGGTACATTGTCCTTACTGCTGCCACTACTGAGCAATTAACAAACTTCTGCGTTCTCATCAGAGAGTATAAAATAAGATTGATATTGTAAGGCACAAAGCAGAAACAGAATATGACCAAATGTACAAATATCATTTTTAAAATCTTAGTTTTGTTTATTTTGCTTCTACTTAATGTAACAGGTTTGTTTAAAGTTCTCAACACCATACTAGAACAAGTTACATTTAGAATTAGAGGAATAAAAAATCCCACTATTTCAATGAAAATTACAATCCTTGAAAGATAAGTTTTCCATGTGGCTTCTGGAAAGTTTTCAAAGCAGGCTTCTGAGGTATTGTTACCCTGAGAGTGAGTAGACTGAAAAAACACTGCTGGTGCACTTCCTCCGATCACTGTGAGCCACACAGCCATGCAGACGATCTTTGCATTTCGTTTAGTTCTTAGAGTCTTTGACTTAAAGGGGTAAACGATCGCCAGAAACCGATCTACACTAATGCAGGTTAAGAACAGAATGCTTCCATACATGTTGGTATAAAACAGCATCACAGAAATCTTACAAAGTAAATCTCCAAATGGCCAGTTCCGTGTTGCAAAGTAAAAAATCCTGAAGGGCAAAGTAAAAACGAAAAGCAAGTCTGACATTGCCAAGTTAATCATGTATGTTGTAGTTTCATTTCGCACTTTGAGGGTGCAGATGAAGATGTATATGGCAACACAGTTGGATATTAACCCAAGCACAAACACCATGCTGAACATGCAGCCATACAGAGTGTACTTAAAGGAGTCATCATAGGAGCATTGCGAGCTGTTAGTGCTTACCATCATAAAGGCGCAGCCAGTGGAGGGTGCACAAGTCTTTTTGTCCCCACGGTCTTCTTTGGTATTCAGATTGTGATCCCTGCAAACTCCAGTTTATTTGCAAATTATTTGGATACTGAAATGGTTTTAGAGATATTTCCTTTTTTTCTCTGAAATCTCCAAATAAAACATGCAATTTGTTGCTGTAAGGTTTCCACTCGTTTCTTCAACGAGAAATTATTCTCATTTTCTGTCCTCAGAAAATCCAGTAATCCAGGATTTAGTGAAGTGACGAACAGCCTTTAAAACACGCAGTCATGGAAGCCAACCCATGGAATGCAGATTTCACACAAAGCTGCTTTCCAAGACAGGAAAACAGCCACTCTTCTTGTAAAGCTGTATTTCTTGCAAAGTTGTTAAGGTGAATATTCCAGAGTTAAAGCTGTTTTATGTTCTGGGATGTTTAAGCTGAAGTTACCAGTTTTTGCTCTGCAGTGCAAAGTTTCAGAGTCTTAATCATTCCCGGTTTGTCCTCTTTTCTTCTTGCCTCCTTTTACATGAGGTTTTCCTTTTTGGTAATCCTGAAGTGGATCCCAGATGGTGGTTAGCAGAAGTCTTTTAGAAGTTCCCAAATAAATTCCTAAGCATGTTAGCTCTTGCTGAATCGAAGCTTTTTCCACAGTTGCCAGCTGTATTGTGAGACCGGCTTTCTCTGAAGTGAAAAAGAAAGGCCTGCTAGGTTTGTAATGTGACATCACAGGAAGAAGAGGCTGGGTTTGGACAAAGAAAGGTTTCAGCCCAGTTTGTTTGCAGTTCCTTTAATCTGATAATGTGACTGCTGGGGATATACCTAGCAGGCTTGCAAATGGTCGCTGGCTCTTTAGCTGCCCATTAACTTTTTTTTTTTTTTTTGGCGGAAATGCCTTCTGGGGTACTGGCAACCTCTTTGAGTTTTTTTGTTTTGTTTTATTTTGCTTTGTTTTGTTTTGTTAGTAGTAACTGAGAAAACACATCACTGCTGATTGTTGCTCTCTTATTTGACTGCTTTGTCTTTGGGATAAGAATTTTTTTTTCAGAAGTAAAACATTTATGGATATGTAGAAATTGAAATTGTTAATAATAGCTTGATAAAGCATTTTAACTTTGAAAGGGAAACCTTTCACTTTTATGTGTAAGAAGGTTTTGACTGTGAAACTAATAATAAGTCCTGCCACTCTTGGCTTCTGTTTTTCATAATTACCCCTCAGGATTTAATTTAATTTAATTAGTATGCTTGTGAATAGCTCTAATCTTGGGTGTCTCTAGTTTTGATTTTCTCATGTTGTTGTTTCCTTTGACATTGAATTAATATTTTAAAGCTGTTTTGATTTCTAAAGTATTCCTTTCACCAAAGAGTAAATTTTAAAATGTTTACCTTTGATGTGGTAATTAGTCTTATTGTACCCATGCATTTAAGCACAAAATATTGTTGTATGTTTTTAAAGAGAACACCCCCCCAAAAGAAACCACAGCTGATAAAATAAGTTTTGGAGAAAAACAGTTTAATTTGGCTAATTTAATTTGGTTAAATTTTAGATTCATGATTTTATTTCATTCCCCAGTGCTCTTCCCTTAATTTCTTTAATGTGACATTCTAGTTTGGAATATATTTATTTGTCTTCATTTAGAAGTTACAATGGTGGTGTATTACATTTAAATAAATATTTGATATTTTAAAACCTACCAAATTAAAAGAAGGTGTATGTGGGGTGAGGGTGGTGAATTTAAGTGTTATTTCCTGAGAGATTGATGATAATCCAACCCTAGAGATAACCTGTTTTTCTTATTTTAAGCCATCATTTTCAAGAGAAGGCTAGATCCAGCTGTGTTTTACTGTTTCTATTTTTATATTTGATGTAGTTGGAACTGGAACTCTACCTTTGGGTACCAGTTAAGGAATCACCATTTAATGCGTTTTTACACCTTTTAAAAATATTTATTTATTGAGCTTACTTTTCATGCTCAGTGGCTTATTGGTGAATTGTAATCTTTTTATTATTTAATAATTAGTATTAACCAACAAACTTAAGGTTCTAATGGTCTAAATTTCTTCATGTTCTAATTTAAAAAGGTACATATGTGTTCATATTAGAAAACTATAGAAACTCAACAGTGATGAAAAAATATTCTTGTGTTTTCATTGAAGAAAAAAAATTCTGTAAATAATTGTTTTGGAAACATATAAAATCTTAGCACTATACTTTCAAACTTACAGTTTCCTCTTTAGTCTTCTGTACATTTACTTTCACTTTGTATGTACCACTTCCTTAAGGAATTAAAATGTACTAACTCTTTACTAGGATATTTTTCCATATATTGGTATTATTCACTTGCCTTGTTATTCACTTACTTATTTATTTGTAATATTTTCATATTTGGGTTATTAATGTTTAATAATGGATGAATAGATTACTACTTATTAAATGAAACTTCATTATTATCAATATATCAATATACATTGATATTTGTAATTTTTTAAAGAAAGATTTATTTGTTTATTTGCAAGACAGAACCACAGAGAGAGAGAGAGACTGAGGGAAAAAGAGAAAGGGAGGGAGAGAAACAGAGAGATCTTCCATCCTATATTTCTGGTTGTTAGAAACAGGTTTTGACCCAGAGTTAATCCATGTTTGCTATTGAATGAATCATCTCAATAAACTTGAATTTTGTAGAAAGTTGTTTCAACAGGAAGAAGGTAGTTGAATACTAGATTTTCTGGTATTTTGTTTGGCTTCTAAGAAACCAAAGGGAAATTAGTAAACTTGAAAAATCCCTGGGTTAGGATTTTTAAAATATAGAATAGTTTCAAGGGAAATTAAATGAATCCTAGGAACAACATACATTTAACAGATGCTTCTATGTTTGAGCGTCAAACTCATTTTAATGTGAGATGTGTATACATCTAGTGGTTACATCTAGGAATTGGTTTTTCTTTTATGGACTCTTTGGGGAGAAGTCAGATAAAAACTTGAGCCAAACAGAAGTTAAAGTAATTAAGACAAATTTTATTTAGGACGAATACTTGTGCATACATCTGATATAAAATATATTGAATTTCTATCCACATCATTGCTTTTAAGAATTTAATTATGGCAAGAAGCCAGGTTTTACTTATAAGTAACAGTATAAATTATTTATTTGTGTGAGTTTTTTTTTTTACATAAAAGATTTGTTTATTTTTATTGGAAAGTCACATTTAGAGAGAGGTGAAAAAGATCTTTCATCTGCTAGTTCACTCCTCAAGAGGCCGCAACAGCCAGAGCTGTGCTGATCCAAAGCCACGGGCTTCCTCTGGGTCTCTCATGTGGGTGCAGGGTCCCAAGGCCTTGGGCAGTCCTCAACTGCTTTCCCAAACCACAAACAGAGAACTAGAAGGAAAGTGGAGCAGCTGGAATACAAACTGGTGACCACAGGAGATCCAGGTGCATGCAAAGTGAAGACTTTAGCCACTAGGCTACTATGGGCTGGGCCTGTAACTTTTTAAAATCAGTTTGAGAGTGAATATTCTGTTAAAGTTAAGAAAATATTAAAGTTCAGAAGAGCCTCAAGCCTTCTTCTGGGTCTCCCGAATGGGTGCAGGGGCTCAGAGTTTTGGGCCATCTTTCTGCTTTCCCAGGTGTCTTAGCCATTTTTTTTTTTTTTAAAGATTTATTTTTATTATTTTTTATTGGAAAGGCAGATATACAGAGAGGAGAGACAGAGAGGAAGATCTTCCGTCCGATGATTCACTCCCCAAGTGAGCCGCAACGGGCCGATACTATGCCGATCCGAAGCCAGGAGCCTCTTCCGGGTCTCCCACGCGGGTGCAGGTTCCCAAAGCTTTGGGCCGTCCTCGACTGCTTTCCCAGGCCACAGGCAGGGAGCTGGAAGGGAAGCGGGGCTGCCGGGATTAGAACCGGCACCCATATGGGATCCCGGGCGTGCAAGGCGAGGACTTAACCACTTGCGCCACCGCGCCGGGCCCATCTTAGCCATTTTTTGTTGGCTATCATTTTATGGAAAGCACCAAATGTTAATTTTTTTGGCATGTTAATTGTATTTGGTGATTTGGTTGAATGCTGGGATGAGTCTGAGAGCCTCAGATAAGCAGTTTGCCTCCTGGGGAGCTTGAACTCTCTAAGATACTTAGCTTTCCTTGCTGGGGGAGGTAGGTGGGCCTTGAGGCTAGTTCCCTAATATTGTGACTCAAGAAAGTAAGAAACACAGATACAAGGAAATGAAGGACTAGCAAGCAAGCGCTGCACGCTATTGCTCTAAAACGTCTGGAAATAGCTCTAAAATATTTTGTGAGAGTTTTTGTACGGACAGACTTGAAGCAATCTAGAATGCAGATTCTTTGTGAAGTGAAGTAAATTGTGTATGTAGATAGTAAAATGTGAAATGCTTTTTTTTAATAGCCAAGAGTGAAGAGGTGTAAAGGAGCACCAGGCAGAGAACTTTCATAGGCTTTTGGTTCCTTGGATACAGAAAAGGAGTTGGACTGTACAGAAGTCCACTGCTGCTTCTGTATCTGATTGTGATTCTTCGCATACTTGGAATGCTTAAGCTGCCACATTTTTTCTTAAATTCTACTGTTAGGTATAACAATTTATGGAGTCACTTTACATTGTTCAGATTTTAAGCATTTATTACTTTGAAACTAGGCTGTACAAGAAATATGTACAAGAAACAAAAATGCCATAAAATAAGAAGAATCTTTAAAATTTGATCATACTGCCAAGTTAAAATATGTTAAAAGTTATTTTCTTTATATTTCTATAACATTTCTCTTTAAAAAACCTCTTCTTTCCAAAATACAAATGAAATACTGTGCTCTTTCACTATAAAATTATTCAAATTTACCAAAATCTGGAAATATTCTTTCATTTAAAATTTTGAGAACATACAATGTTGTTCCTAAAAGTAACATTTAGAATAGGAAATATACCAAAAAAAAAAGAATGAGATAGTATATGAAACCAACAAATTAATTTGTTCAAGATCAAAAGAAAATGTTAAACCAGTGATATTTTAAAATAACAGAAATTGTCCTAACGTGCTCATTTGAATGCAGCAAGTGCTTACTATGATAAGTTGTAACTCTTTTGGTTCTTTTCTATGTTTTCTATCTAATAATACTCTTAGGAAAAAACTTTCCTAGTTTTGGATTCTTTTAAAAGTACAAAATTAAAATCTTAATTAAAATTTAATTAACAGTTCATGTAAAAATTTACTTACAGTAAATTTTCTATTTTCTTTGACACAAAATATTTTTAGTTTGAGAAATGAACATTTGTAATTTATTTGATTATGTATTTTCTATAAAAATAACTTTTAGGAATATTTATTTAGGAATATTTATTAAATTCTAGACAAGGCTAATATTACTGTATTCTGTTGATACCATTTAAAAATGATTTATCTTTTAGTCATTACTGCAAACACTTAATTCTGTGTTATTTTTTATTGGAGTGTGAGTCATGTCCCTGAGTTCAAAGGGTTGAACCAGCTTGTAGGATTGGGTGGGAGCAGAAGAGGAAAGATTTAGAGGATGATAAATGATGATTATAGTAAAGTAAAAAGTGAATGGTGTTGATGGTTGAAGCTGCTTCAAACAAACAGAATAAGGAAATTAAGAGGAGTAGGAATGCTGTGGTGTAAGCTTTAAACCTTGAGTAAATATATGTTTTCCTGCCTGTACTTAGTCATCCCTTC